AGAACCAAGGTGGGCTTTTCCCTGGCCTGGGTTGCATCGACCATATCTTCAGTTTGGTGCAAGTGTTGGAACAATTTCACTCCTTCAGTCGACCAGCACTAATGGCCTTTCTCGATCTCAAATCTGGTTTTGGCGCCGTTGATCGTCAGTGACTCTGATCCTTCTAAATTTCCGTCCCTTCTCAAAGCTCTGTATACCTTCTCTCAAGGACGCGTATATGTCTACGGCAAATTCCCTCCTGCATCGACTGGTGTCAGTCAAGGATGTCTCCTGTCACTGTTTCTTTTACTGCATAAACGATATACTGCCCTCGTCTTCTTTGCCCTTTTTTTGACATCTCTGTGGTCAAAATACTCCAGGAGCATTTGTCTATGGATAATAAGTACGCTGACGATATTGGTTTCCTTGTATCAGCCCTTTAGAAATGCGAGCAGTTCTAAATAACCTGTGTAATTCTGGTGCGTCTCGTACCTGTAAAGTTTGGGGTGCTGCTGCAAGCTGGCTGCAGTTAAAGCTAAATCGATCGAGGTGGTAGATAAATTTGTTTACCTGGACATTCGCATAAGTTCTAATGGACTGTCTGGGGTCGAAATCTCTTCTCGAATCAGAAAGGCAGCTTTTACCAACTTTGAACACGGATAGCGACTGCAGCTCGTTAGTTTAACAACCAGGAGCAGAATATACGTAGCGACGATGCGATATGTCCTGCTTTATGGATTAGGAGTGCGGCCTTTACGTTCAGGGGTTTTACGGAAACTCGCTTTTAACCATCCCTGTCCCCAAAAAGTTAGCCGGGTGAAGTGAGAACATCGGGGTGGCAATGCGTCGGTATGGTTTGGATGACGGGGCTCCCTCGCTTCGAACATGCCGCTAACGCTCCATATTTCACAAAGCTTTTTTGTCCCAACTTTTTATTGAATGGAAGCGACCGAGAGGTGCAAAGTTTATGAACTGGTAACGGATTATAAAAGCATTGAACATTAACCTCAATCGAGTTAACAACTGCCGCCTTTAAGGGGTACTCAGGGACTCAACTCATCAGTGGTTAACCACTTTGGCAGTTAACACTTTGGCTTAGTGGTGCAATCGTTGGTGTTCCTCTATCTAAACTATCACCTCCAGTGTGTGGCTGCGCAGTTTTCGGTTACTTCAGACAGTTAGACCGGTTAAACGTCAACTAACTGATCATGCCCCAAACTCCCGGCTATATGCCCCATGCTCTTCCCATTTTCCGTTGGTGGAAACTATAGCAGCTGGAATCAACGTTTCATTTATACAAGGTATATAGCGCGATAAATTGACGGACGAAACTTTCATCCTACCATCGGGGGTCGAATACAAGTACCCTAAAATTCTTCCAACAAAGCAGCTGATCAAGTGAATACTTGTTTTCCTGGCATTCGTCTTCTGGGTCAACAGTCACCGTGTTTATTGATAGATTCCGTAAGCGTTTTCAGTAGGGACTGGTGTCAATCTCAGCTGTACAGAAGGGTCTCATACCAGTGTTCCCCAAAATAGAGCGCTTCAACGTCGACCATAATTTTATCCGAAGGCTCATGCTCTTCGGGATGGAGGGCTACTCATGAGTAGAGTGGTTTACGCCTGTTTATTATAATACCGTTTCGTTTCCTTAGTTTTCACTCCTGCTTAAGGTTGCCTTATTATCTAGTGCCTGATGTCAAGAGTTGTTATCTGTCGTTTTCGCTTGCGGGTTCATTCAGCTCTACCTATTTTCGAGAGCCCACTGTGACGGAAAAACGGACCGACAGGGGATCGAACTCAGAGCTCCTCTGATGGTTGGCGGCGTGTTACACGCTCAACAACTCGACGACTCAGGGGAATTTGTTTATATTACCTTTATATCGCACCTGCCAGGTAGCCCTTGTTAAGGTTTGTTTTAGACGGATCTAAGCGCAGTTATCTCCGTATACGGCCAACTTGCACTGACTGACTGCCCGTATCTAAATGTTTGTACATCATTTGGTACTTGCTACTGATTCCAGAAAGCCCTGCTGCCCCACTTACCATTTTTCTGCTCCCGCCGATTGCGTTTACTTCATGTTATTTATCGTGGTAGCTGTCTCGGTGTGCCAGAGAGTTTGCGTGTTTGCGTGTGTATCCGTTCATCGATCTGGCGTGTGGCTTCAGCGGCTGATTGGGTGCGCGTCGGATTGATTTGCTCGCCTGAGTGTTGCGAGTTGACTGGATATGTGACTCAGATGTTTGCCTACCCGCCACGAAAGCGGATCAGCTGGCCGCATGTACACAATACACTCGTGTCATCACTTACATGTTTTTATGAAATACTGTGAACCACAACACTGGCGACGGGGATGGGATACGAAACCAGGCGAGGAAACCCCACTGCATTGGCACTGATGCGGAAACCCAAATAGTCTACATGGTTCACCAGGAAGTCACACTTTTCCCTCTTTATTCGTGGTCCATACTCCTTCAAACAATCAGGTACCAGTTCCAACGACTTGAAATGCTCCCCCATGGTGCACCCGGTTATCAGAATATCGTCTAGATAGACGAACGTTTTGGGTATCCCCGCAATAACGTTTCCAGTTGTGCGTTGAAATATGGATGGAGCGGAGTGGATTCCAAAAGGAAGGCGATTAAACATAAACAGACCTCTATGAGTACTGATGGTTGTAATGGGTTTCGCTTCCTCCGTTAATTACAATTGCTCGTAAGCATGAACTAGATCTAGTTTTGAAAAAATATTTGCTGTTTGCTAATTTAGGTAATGGGCTGGCATTGACCGTGGTTTTATAGTCACCGCGGATTCTAACTATGCCCTCCGGTTCCAGTATTGGCACAATTGGTGTGGCCCACTCTGAGAACTCCGGGCTTTGAATTATCCCTTCACGTTGCAAACGGTTAAGTTCTTCTTCGACCTTTGGATGCATCAAGTAGGGCAGTGACCGAGCCTTCAGGAATCGCAGTTGTGTTCCCGGCGGAACGTATATATTCACATTTCCCCAGGAAACTTGCCAGTATTCGGCTCTGAAAATACTTCTTGATAATTGCGGATAAGAGATTGAACCTCAGGGAGTGTTGAGACCTGGTTCAACGTAAGTATGGGTAGTTGTTGAAGCCAGTCACGTCCTAACAGGCTTGGGCCACTTCCTTCAGCAATATATGGTTTCGTTCACCCTCACACCCTTATATGAAACATTCACATTTTTCGTCCCCAGCAACTTCACCTCTTCTCCTGTATGTGCTCGAAGCCGGACTGAGGCTTGCTGAAGTTTACCTTTCACGGTCGGTCCCAGGTTGTCTTGCCATGATTTTTCACTGCATAGTGTAACAGCACTACCCGTATCCAGCTCGAAAACCATTGGTGCACTGTTCACCTGTAGTTGTACTTGATACGGCGGTTGAACGCGGTTGGCGGGAACAGTTGCACGAAGGACGTATTCCGGGATTTCTGACCTTGTAACTTGATTCGTAACAGCAGCGTTAGTTTCGGACGCTGGTGTTGAGCGGCACACTTTCGCGAAGTGCCCACGTTTCTTACGGCGATTACAAACAGTTTGTGTGTGCCGACAATGCTTCGGATGAGTATGACGGCCTCCACAACGATAACACTTAAAATGTGTTCTGTTCGACGATTGCTGTAATCGATTCACCTGAGACGATGAATCCACCGACGATAGGTTGCACAGATTGTAGCTAGGTTGCGTCATTTTCTGCTGCTTCCAATGCCACCGCAGTATCGTAGGCCGTTTCCAAAGTTAAGTTACTATCAGCATGTAAACACTGTTGTATGCGAGCGTTCCTCACACCAACTACTAAGCGATTTCTGAGCATATCGTTTCGAAAATTTCCCTAGTCACAGTGCTCCGTGATTCCGCTACAAAATCCGCAATGGGTTCTCCTTGGACTCTTGTACTCTTGTATTGAACTTGAATCGCTGGGCGCTAACAGAAGTTCTAGGATTGTGATGCTTTGAAACGATAGACACAAGATCGTCAAACGTTTTCGTATTTGGTAAATCCGGAGCGACCAAGCCGAGCCACAAATCGTAAGAAGTATGTTCACTTTCGAAGAACGTACTAACGTGGCGCCGCCACGACCCTCGACCTTATGGCGCGGGCCTGACGAACCCACCTTACCAAATGTCTATAGAAAAGCTAGAGGAATTTACTGCTACTGAAGTTCCTTGGAACCAATGCGTGGAACGGGTGAAGTTACTTTCTTGCAAACGACGTCACTGCCGACAAGCCGAGAGTGAACATACTTCTTACGATTTGTCGTTTGCAAGAAAGTAACTTCACCCGTTCCACGCATTGGTTCCAAGGAACTTCAGTAGCAGTAAATTCCTCTAGCTTTTCTATAGACATTTGGTAAGGTGGGTTCGTCAGGCCCGCGCCATAAGGTCGAGGGTCGTGGCGGCGCCACGTTAGTACGTTCTTCGAAAGTGAACATACTTCTTACGATTTGTGGCTCGGCTTGGTCGCTCCGGATTTACCAAATACGAAAACGTTTGACGATCTTGTGTCTATCGTTTCAAAGCATCACAATCCTAGAACTTCTGTTAGCGCCCAGCGATTCAAGTTCAATACAAGAGTACAAGAGTCCAAGGAGAACCCATTGCGGATTTTGTAGCGGAATCACGGAGCACTGTGACTAGGGAAATTTTCGAAACGATATGCTCAGAAATCGCTTAGTAGTTGGTGTGAGGAACGCTCGCATACAACAGTGTTTACATGCTGATAGTAACTTAACTTTGGAAACGGCCTACGATACTGCGGTGGCATTGGAAGCAGCAGAAAATGACGCAACCTAGCTACAATCTGTGCAACCTATCGTCGGTGGATTCATCGTCTCAGGTGAATCGATTACAGCAATCGTCGAACAGAACACATTTTAAGTGTTATCGTTGTGGAGGCCGTCATACTCATCCGAAGCATTGTCGGCACACACAAACTGTTTGTAATCGCCGTAAGAAACGTGGGCACTTCGCGAAAGTGTGCCGCTCAACACCAGCGTCCGAAACTAACGCTGCTGTTACGAATCAAGTTACAAGGTCAGAAATCCCGGAATACGTCCTTCGTGCAACTGTTCCCGCCAACCGCGTTCAACCGCCGTATCAAGTACAACTACAGGTGAACAGTGCACCAATGGTTTTCGAGCTGGATACGGGTAGTGCTGTTACACTATGCAGTGAAAAATCATGGCAAGACAACCTGGGACCGACCGTGAAAGGTAAACTTCAGCAAGCCTCAGTCCGGCTTCGAGCACATACAGGAGAAGAGGTGAAGTTGCTGGGGACGAAAAATGTGAATGTTTCATATAAGGGTGTGAGGGTGAACGAAACCATATATTGCTGAAGGAAGTGGCCCAAGCCTGTTAGGACGTGACTGGCTTCAACAACTACCCATACTTACGTTGAACCAGGTCTCAACACTCCCTGAGGTTCAATCTCTTATCCGCAATTATCAAGAAGTATTTTCAGAGCCGAATACTGGCAAGTTTCCTGGGGAAATGTGAATATATACGTTCCGCCGGGAACACAACTGCGATTCCTGAAGGCTCGGTCACTGCCCTACTTGATGCATCCAAAGGTCGAAGAAGAACTTAACCGTTTGCAACGTGAAGGGATAATTCAAAGCCCGGAGTTCTCAGAGTGGGCCACACCAATTGTGCCAATACTGGAACCGGAGGGCATAGTTAGAATCCGCGGTGACTATAAAACCACGGTCAATGCCAGCCCATTACCTAAATTGGCAAACAGCAAATATTTTTCAAAACTAGATCTAGTTCATGCTTACGAGCAATTGTAATTAACGGAGGAAGCGAAACCCATTACAACCATCAGTACTCATAGAGGTCTGTTTATGTTTAATCGCCTTCCTTTTGGAATCCACTCCGCTCCATCCATATTTCAACGCACAACTGGAAACGTTATTGCGGGGATACCCAAAACGTTCGTCTATCTAGACGATATTCTGATAACCGGGTGCACCATGGGGGAGCATTTCAAGTCGTTGGAACTGGTACCTGATTGTTTGAAGGAGTATGGACCACGAATAAAGAGGGAAAAGTGTGACTTCCTGGTGAACCATGTAGACTAATGGAGTGTCCTAATAGTGCAGAGGGTTCGGCTCCTTATCGGACATAAGGCGTCCAATATTAGGGGCACCTCTACGAAGGAATAAAAATGAGCTAAGATCTTTCGTAGGCATGGTTCATTGCTATGCGAGGTGTATTCCGTAAGCCGCCACATTTTTTCGTACACTGAATCACTTGATGCATCAACGAGTATTTGGAATCATGAACAAGAGAATGCGTTCCAACAGGTGAAAAGGGTTCGTCAGGCCCGCGCCATAAGGTCGAGGGTCGTGGCGGCGCCACGTTAGTACGTTCTTCGAAAGTGAACATACTTCTTACGATTTGTGGCTCGGCTTGGTCGCTCCGGATTTACCAAATACGAAAACGTTTGACGATCTTGTGTCTATCGTTTCAAAGCATCACAATCCTAGAACTTCTGTTAGCGCCCAGCGATTCAAGTTCAATACAAGAGTACAAGAGTCCAAGGAGAACCCATTGCGGATTTTGTAGCGGAATCACGGAGCACTGTGACTAGGGAAATTTTCGAAACGATATGCTCAGAAATCGCTTAGTAGTTGGTGTGAGGAACGCTCGCATACAACAGTGTTTACATGCTGATAGTAACTTAACTTTGGAAACGGCCTACGATACTGCGGTGGCATTGGAAGCAGCAGAAAATGACGCAACCTAGCTACAATCTGTGCAACCTATCGTCGGTGGATTCATCGTCTCAGGTGAATCGATTACAGCAATCGTCGAACAGAACACATTTTAAGTGTTATCGTTGTGGAGGCCGTCATACTCATCCGAAGCATTGTCGGCACACACAAACTGTTTGTAATCGCCGTAAGAAACGTGGGCACTTCGCGAAAGTGTGCCGCTCAACACCAGCGTCCGAAACTAACGCTGCTGTTACGAATCAAGTTACAAGGTCAGAAATCCCGGAATACGTCCTTCGTGCAACTGTTCCCGCCAACCGCGTTCAACCGCCGTATCAAGTACAACTACAGGTGAACAGTGCACCAATGGTTTTCGAGCTGGATACGGGTAGTGCTGTTACACTATGCAGTGAAAAATCATGGCAAGACAACCTGGGACCGACCGTGAAAGGTAAACTTCAGCAAGCCTCAGTCCGGCTTCGAGCACATACAGGAGAAGAGGTGAAGTTGCTGGGGACGAAAAATGTGAATGTTTCATATAAGGGTGTGAGGGTGAACGAAACCATATATTGCTGAAGGAAGTGGCCCAAGCCTGTTAGGACGTGACTGGCTTCAACAACTACCCATACTTACGTTGAACCAGGTCTCAACACTCCCTGAGGTTCAATCTCTTATCCGCAATTATCAAGAAGTATTTTCAGAGCCGAATACTGGCAAGTTTCCTGGGGAAATGTGAATATATACGTTCCGCCGGGAACACAACTGCGATTCCTGAAGGCTCGGTCACTGCCCTACTTGATGCATCCAAAGGTCGAAGAAGAACTTAACCGTTTGCAACGTGAAGGGATAATTCAAAGCCCGGAGTTCTCAGAGTGGGCCACACCAATTGTGCCAATACTGGAACCGGAGGGCATAGTTAGAATCCGCGGTGACTATAAAACCACGGTCAATGCCAGCCCATTACCTAAATTGGCAAACAGCAAATATTTTTCAAAACTAGATCTAGTTCATGCTTACGAGCAATTGTAATTAACGGAGGAAGCGAAACCCATTACAACCATCAGTACTCATAGAGGTCTGTTTATGTTTAATCGCCTTCCTTTTGGAATCCACTCCGCTCCATCCATATTTCAACGCACAACTGGAAACGTTATTGCGGGGATACCCAAAACGTTCGTCTATCTAGACGATATTCTGATAACCGGGTGCACCATGGGGGAGCATTTCAAGTCGTTGGAACTGGTACCTGATTGTTTGAAGGAGTATGGACCACGAATAAAGAGGGAAAAGTGTGACTTCCTGGTGAACCATGTAGACTAATGGAGTGTCCTAATAGTGCAGAGGGTTCGGCTCCTTATCGGACATAAGGCGTCCAATATTAGGGGCACCTCTACGAAGGAATAAAGCTAAGCTAAGATCTTTCGTAGGCATGGTTCATTGCTATGCGAGGTGTATTCCGTAAGCCGCCACATTTTTTCGTACACTGAATCATGCATCAACGCAACGAGTATTTGGAATCATGAACAAGAGAATGCGTTCCAACAGGTGAAAAGTGCCCTTACGAATCCTCCGGTGCGACACCGCCCATTGTTTTCGCTATGCTTGCTTCACCATATGGTGTTGGAGCCGTGTTATCGCAGAAAGATAAATTTGGAATTCTCAAACCAGTTGGTTACGCTTCACGATCTTTGTCGCCTGCTGTGAGGAATTATGCGCAAATCGATAAGGAGACATTGGCGATTCTGTTCGGAGTGACACTTATTCAACACTACATTTTCGGACAAATGTTCGACATATTTACGGATCATAAGCCCCTACTTGGAATCCTCGGAGAAAATAAACCAATACCTCAAATAATGTCGCCTAGAATGCAACATTGGGCCTTAAAACTTGCGTACTGTCGCTATCATTTGCAGTGCGAGATGGCCCAAGTGGTTAGAGCGCGAATTTACTGACCGGAAGGTTCGTGGTTCGAATCCGACCTCCGCCACTCGACTTCCCCTGTCTAGGCTTGGGCAACCTGGCAGTATCCTAGCCCTCGTGCTTCCTTCGAGTGGCATGGCAGCTAGGCACCGGAAGGGTGCTACAGCTGAACGCTTTTTTGCAGTACGCTCCTGAACAAGGGAATCTCACGGCGGATGCCCTAAGTCGCCTACCATTACGAGATGTACCATTACACACACCGAAACCAGCCGAGCTGGTAAATTTAATGAGTTGGGCTGATGATTTGCCTATAACTGCTTTGAAAATACGAGTAGAAACAAGAAAGGATCCAGAACTCTCGCGTGCTTCGTTTCACTTCATACGGGTGGCCGGAGAATGTTGGGAGTACGCTAAGTGGATTCTGTGAACAATCGTTGGAGATAAGTGTAGAAGATGGATGTTCGCTATGGGGATGAAGAGTGATAATTCGGAGGCGCTACCGTCCGGAAATTCAGGCCATCCAGGTAACACTCAAATGAAGGCTTTAGCCAGACACTATGTCTGGTGGCCTGGTACCGACCACGGTGTGGAAATGACGGTGCAAAAGTGTGAGACATGTCAGCAAAACAGGGCTTTGCCCGCAGCAGCACCCATGTCACCATGATAGTGGCCGTCACGACCGTGGAGCCGCATACACATGGATTATTGTGGCCCTGTTGAAGGTTATATGATCCTGGTGATTGTCGATGCGTGGGTAGAAGCGGTACCCACTAGAACTGCATCTAGTGCGTCGACCATGTCTATACTTCGCAACATTTTCGCATCGCATGTTATACCTGATACGATTGTTTCTGATAACGGCACGGATTTTACCAGTGCGGAATTCCAACGGTTTTTGAGAACCAACGGGATTGAGCATGTTTTAACAGAACCATACCATCCCGCTTCTAACGGCCGGGAGGAACGCGCGGTGGCAACGGTAAAGAATGGATTGATGAAACAAAGCCCAGGTCCTTTGCAAACAAGGTTTGACAAGTTTTTGATGCAGTACACACTAATACTACTACACTACTAGTACACACACACTACTACGGGCCAGGCTCCCTGCGAATTGCTAATGGGACGAAGACTTCGAACACGTTGGATCTACTGTGGCCGGATTGGGCGCTTAAGGTCAAACAACGGCAGTGTTCCATGAAGCAAAACACAGGTAAACACGTCCGACCTCGAACATTACGAGGTGGCGAGCAGGTTTACGTCAAACTTCAGCCTTCAGATAATGAACAGGTGCGTGGATGTGTGAATTCGACAAACCGTACCCTTATTGACAAGCTGTTAGAAGACGGGAGGATAATACGCCGTCATTTTGACCATATCAGGACTAGGAAGCATGGGCCAGATGCGGAACAAACGCCTGAGCCGACAGTACCGGTGGACTCCGGACTGAAGCAAGAAAGTTTGGAAACAACCACAGATGCGTCAAGGTACCTGCGCCGATCGGCTAGGGGGTCAAAACTGGTCGAACTTTACCAAGATCTAGTTGGTTGAATCTAGCGTTGTAGGACCATAGTAGCTGCTTCGGTGTGTTAGAGTTTGCGCATGCGCGTGTCCGTTCGTCGTTCCACCATCGATCTGGCGTGTGACTTGAGTGGCTGATTGGGTGCGTGTCGGATTGATTTGCTCGCCTGAGTGTTATGGGTTGACTGGATATGTGGCTCAGTTGTTTGCTTTCCCGCCACGAAAGCGGAACAGTTGGCCGCATGGGCGAGATGGCCGAAGTGGTTAGAGCGCGGATTACTAACCTGAAGGTCCGCGGTTCGAATCCGACCTCCGCCACTCGACTTCCCCTGTCTAGGCTTGGGCAACCTGGCAGTATCCCAGCCCTCGTGCTCCCTTCGGGTGGCATGGCAGCTAGGCACCGGAAGGGTGCTACAGCTGAACGCTTTATCTTTATCTTTATCTTTTATGTACATAATACACCCTTGTCATTACTTATGTTTTTCTGACTTACTGTAAACTACAATATTCATTAATCCAGTTTCTGACGGTTCTCAATACAACTTTCGTCCTTGTGTTCGTACTTACCACCGCATACGAGCTCCGTATAGCCCGATAGCTGCAATCGTCCTGCGAGATCCTTAGCTGCCCAAATCTTACACCTACTATTCATCAGTATAGGGCGTACAAGGATGCTTGACTTTGTTCACCCTCAGTAATGCTAAAGTACATCGAATGGTTTTCAGAGGAAATAATTCGCACACGATAGATGGACGGATCACACTCCGTGTTTCGAATGCCAGTCGACCAATTTCCACGAATAGCCCTTTTAGCTCAACCACGCGAAAACGAGTCAGTGAAGGTCAGACAATGAGTTTCCAGTGCAAAACCACTATCAGGAAACTCAACTGCGCTGGTCGTTGCCGGCTGTCCGGTTGGGGACCTCGAGACGGGACAAATCAATGGTTAGAGATACTGTCACACGTGGCCCAGTCGCGTCCTCAATGGAGATCATGCATCCAGGCTGTTGCTTTCAATGCGCATAGCTCCCCTCCTGGTCTTTCAAATGAAGAGTCCACTGACACCCTCTGGGTTAGTGCATCAATTATATCAACTACCGTCTTCAGTGCACAGCTATCTTTCCCACCTCCCGAAATCATTAGTGAACGAAACTGTGTCAGTTATAATCATTGCACGGCATCTACGCGGTCTTTTACAGCTGATGATGATGATGGCGGTGACCCTCCGTGTGCAAGTGCCAGTCCTGTGGCGAGTGCAGTACTGCAGAGCCACCTTTAGGACTTCCTCCTAAAGTTGTGCTTAGTATTTCTAGGACTTCAGTCAAACGAACCTTAAAATGGTATGTAACGAACTGCTCAGACAGGATTCGCGATGGTGCCACCACTAACTGTCTGCGACTGCCTGCCTTTACTGTAGAGAACCTTGTCCAGCATAAGTAAAGTGCCCGCAAAGTTACACCATTGTTCCTTACGCAATACAGTGAGGCCCGTCAGCATGTGACCACGCGGCTGTAACATCTGGACTAAAAACCCAGTGGATCAGTACCGATTTCCGAACCTCTTTCAGTATGCACACTTTTGCACTAAACAGATCCAGTAATCCACCACCAGGTAATACGAGTTGACAATAATTCTCAGTCCTTTCCCAATACTTGCTCTGTTTCAGCTCCGTGTTTGGACACATTATTAACTTGTATTTGTTTCTGTCCCTGCAGAAGCCTTTCTAACACTGCAGAAAGGGCTTAGGCAATGCTGAACTCTACCTACTTCAATATTCCCTGTGTACGCAATCCTGCCTACCTAAACTTTTGCGCTAGCCGATGTTGACCATAGTGGTAAGGTGCTCACCCATTACATTCAGGTGTTGCAGTTGTCTATTTTCCTCGCGTCCACCTTCCTATGCATACCGCTCGTCGCTTGGCTTCTTGCTCGTCGACGTCAGCGTGTCCGACAGTGGCTTTCCTCCACCTATGGTACTGATCCGAACTGTACCCTTATAGGATTTTTCCACCCATATTGTAACTCAGGTGGTGGTGGGGAGCGTGTGCTGTGGACCTCGATCAAGGCGATGCTGCTGGAGTATGTTCAGTAATATGACTATTTCAGTTCTGACTTCCAGACGAAAGCCGCGAATATTTATCATCTATACAAATGATTCAATTTGTTTGAGACAACCGGAGCAAGTGTTTGATAGTGTCAAACGCATATTCGACGTGTCCTTGGATGTCAGTGAACGGCATACAAATCCTATACAGTTCGTTCCAATTCGAAGTGCCCGACTTCTCTCTCCGTCAACTTATCCCATATTCACGCTTGGTGGTCAGGCCTTGGGATCGATTTTTGTTGCCCTGGAGGCGCTCATCCGTTGTCCACCAGATGTATTCCTCGATACCACTGGTTTCGCTTTTACCCTACCCATTGCCAAACGGCTGGCGAGATGTATGACTGCGACCTACGTTCACTATCCCACGGTATCTACCGACATGGTTACTCGCGTAGCCAGCTCGGTGAACCCACCCTTACAAACTAATGCGATGACGTCGCTCCAGTATAACAATGCTAATTGGATTAGGAATAGTCGTGTACTCTCCTGGATTAAACTTGGTTATTACCACATGGTTTTGATCGCTTATCGATGGGCAGGATCTCGAAATGTTGACTTGGTCATGACCAATTCCTCTTGGACACGGAGCCATATTCTGTCTTTGTGGGGTGGCAAGCCACTGGTTCTGTTTCCTCCTTGTCCTGTACCGACTCGGAAGATGGCAGCAGCTGGCCGAATGCCGTGGATCATGTCTATTGGACAGTTTAGACCGGAGAAAAATCATGAGGTTAGTCCGTATTCTGAGTAACATGTAATTCTGTTTAGTCCAATACCTAGGATTTGAATATCTTATGCTTGTCACAACCAGATTGAAGTTCAAAATCTGTCCAGCACAGTTTTTTCCTTCCATAAACCATTTTTGATAAATCTGATGCATCAGAGTTCGTTACTGCGATCAGTCGAATCTGCATAGAGCAGCAATGGTAAGGTAAGCAGCTGGGAACGCAGATAAGGTAGACAGAAATTGAAAGCATGAAGAACAGCTTGATAGTTGGTCAGATAGGGTTGATCTGTTCGCCGCGTTCAGCAATTCACTTGAGGGCGTTTTTCCCCATTCGAGGAAACATCATCACTATGCGGTCGGGTGGCTTCATGGCTCAGTCTGGAGTATGTTGATGGTTGTAACTCTCATGGCGGTTGCAGATGCTGGTCTAATTGTGTCAGGTTGTGAGTTACTTTGTGAGGTCCGCCATGCGAAGCCAAATCAACAACTTGAGAAGCTGAGAAAACCGTTCTGCCGTCTCCTGTTAGCAATTTTTACCAGAAGACGTCTTATGGTCTCTGATTGGGTTTGAACTTGTGGCTTTCCACAGGTCGGTTAAAAGCTGCCACCTAGCAACCAAGTGAGGTTATTTTAGCATCGCTTCAACGGCCAATGTGGAATGCTGCATCTCCAATGATTTCAAACTATGGAATCTTAGTCAAAGGACTCACAATATTATACTCGGTGAATATTGTGTTCGTTTTGTTGGCGTTCGGTGAGGCGTGAGTTTCCCACATGTCGTTTTTCAGCTTGCAAGTCAAATGACAGACTAATACTCTGAGATCACTGGAAAGAAAGTCAAAACTTCAATCGCGTATCTGTTGCTGAATACAACAAGTAAAACACCTAATCGTCTATGTAAACTAACGAGGTGTTCCAAGCGGCTGTAGGATATTTGACGTAGTGTATACTAGTTATAGACTGTTGGTGCCGTTTGATATGTGATAGGACGCCGTATAGCCTTGACTGACAGTTTAGTGAAATCCCCTCAGTCGATGGCGCTCCCGTCCTTGCTTACCCACCATACTCTCGGTGTCCACACATATATCTTTATCTTGGCCTTTATATTTAATTGGTTACTGATTTAGAATTTCAACATGTCTGACAGCCAGGTAGTCCAAATAGGCGTGAAATACACATTTTATGAAGCCCTCAAAACCACAGTAATTCAGTTTTCGTTCTGAAAATTAGGCCGACTATTTGCTGGGGCATCCTTACAGTTTTTCTTGTTTACTTCTTCACCCGTTCAATGTTATTAGCCACAGAGTTTTGATGAATGATACTTTTGTGACAAATGTACTGCAGCATTTTCCTCTATGGATGTCGCGGTACAGCATTTTCACAGTTTTCTGGGTTTTTGGCATGAGCCTGCTAAAACTATATTGTTCATGGATCTGTCGTCTTAACACTGCAAAACAGTATGCGAAAAAAACGGGACGGCTGTTCGTCCACTAAATCTTCATCTTGAGCTGGACATTTCAAAAAGCAGTTCAGATGGTCTTCTTTAACACAACGGGGCGAGATGGGCTAAGTGGCTAGAGCGCGAATTTACTGACCGGAGGGTCCGTGGTTCGAACCCGACCTCTGCCTCTCGGCTTCCCCTATCTAGGCTCGGGCAACCTGGCGGTATCCCAGCCCCCGTGCTTCATTCGGGTGGCATGGCAGCTAGGCACCGAAAGGGTGCTGCAGCTGAACAATTTATTGATTATTTTTCTTTGACAACCTCCGGAAGAACCCTTGAGCCGGAATGGAACGTCAGCACCAGACTGCCGTCAGCAACGGAAGTCTGGTGTGAACTATCGTTCCTCCAACATGACAGGACACGCGACTTAGATGGTCCGTACTCCGCAATTTTCAAAAGTGAAAATCTTGTCTAATAATATGATAGAATAATAACCACTCATTCGCAAACCAGTTTAGTTCTGCGGGGGAGACTCACCTGGAACCCAGATGATTCTCTCATTTCTGATGCTTGTAAGCAACTGAATGTGCTGCACCAGGCCTTCCCATGTTTCATTTGGTACAATATTTGAGATATCGCGATGCATGGGTAGACGTAATACGCTAATCATAAGGTTGCTGAAAACTCTGACAACCCACGATCGGTCTCGCCCTTCTTGGGGCTCATCAGGTAGACAGGGTTCCCAAACTTCGGTCAACCTTATGTTTTACCTAAATACATCATAAACGAGAGATTCAGCTGGGTTCTAGATGAGTTTCTCGCGAAACCAAACTGGTTTGCAAGTGAGTGTGAGAGAATCGTGAGAGTCAAGCTGGCTTTCACTTTTGTCAAGGACCATATCTCTGCCTCGACAAGTTCCAGAACATCGACACTTCTCCAAACTTCCCGTTTTGATCGTTTTTTTTGACCTGAAAACTGACTTTCGCTCTCGACAATCGGAAATCGCGTTACATGTGACGATCAAGGATTACCTTCTAAATTTTGATCCGTTACGCGGACACTGCATGCGAACCCCCGTGGGCGCGTACAGTATGGAGGTTTTCGCATGAGTTAATCATGTCCAGTGATGTAAGGCAAAGCCACTCTTACGCAACTTTGTTACTGACGTGCTGCTTGAAGCTTCTGTCCCAGTCTCTGCATCCCCGGGAATCGAAATGATCCCCTTGTGTTTAGTTGGAAACACTAAGTATGCGGACGACATTGCAATTCGCGGTTCAGATCCTTCAAAGGTGCAAGTCCTTTTGAATACACTAAGTAATTATGCCGCTCGGTTTCGTATCGTCTTCCTGCCTTCAAAGTGCAAACTACTGCTAAAAGACTGGATGGGATTAAACTCAAAGTTCACCTTTGCAGGCCAGCCAATCGAGGCTGTTGATAAATTTGTTCACCTGGGCATTCGTACAAGTTTTGGTGGGCCGACTGGGGACGAACTTCTCGAATCGGATATAGACCACGGAATCTTTTATCAACTTCTGGCACTTGTCGTGCTGGTGTGGCACAAGTTTGTCTGTCAAAGGCAGAGTACTCACTGTGGCGATGCTACCCATATTACTTTACTGATCAGAAAAATGACTCCTTCTCGCGAATGACGTACGAAAGCGGTAGGTGTTTGACCCGAAGCATTGACCAGGTCTGGTGGGAACATTGTATTAGCGATTTTAAGGTACGTCAGACGGTCTTTTGGAGAAAGAAGCCATTTAATGGTGGGTGAACCACTCACTTCATTGGTTACACCGGTTGGAACGTGTACTTTGCATGCCAGAAGACCGTCTTCCTCACAGAGCTTTTTTCTCAGCCCTGTACTAGGTCGACGCCACCCAGGGGCGGACAGTCTATAACCTGGCAACCAATTATGAAAACGCTAACCAGCAGACCCAGTCGAGTTGACAAAATCCGTCTTGATGTATTGGCACCCGGGGACTCAACTAATCAATAGTTAATGATACCTGGAGACATGCCTCAGCCACGCTGTCAGTGGTGTTCCTTTATCCGAGCTATCGCCTTCAATGCATAGCAGTCCAGTTTAGTGTGTGGCTGTATCTCCCCTGCACTCCCGTTTACCGTTGACCAGAGCAGTACTCACTGGAAACAACGAACCCTTGGTATGTGGTTTATGGCCGGAATATTGTGGGGATGGTTAAAGCTTTGACGAAAACAGCGTCTCCTACCTGGTTGCCGAAGCTACCGTTTTATGTTGGTTGTTTAGCTGCTTTTGAGGACTTTGGGACATCGGTTAGTTTCATTTTGCTTCACCTTACTAGCCGGAATAGTGATGTGATCCCGATCAAAGCCACACGTTTACTTAGAAGCACAACTATTATAAACCAGAAACGAAGGAGCCTTCTCGAAAAGATGCGAGCTACCCTTCAACCAAGGTTCCTAACAATCCCGTTACACTCGACGCGCATTTAGATATTTGAGTTTTCCAGTATTTGTCGACTGAAGCGCCAAAAATAGATACTCGGAGACTGTTCCTCATAGGGACTGTATGTGATAGGGACCATAGATCACAGCATTGGCTTTGTGTCTGTCTTTTATACAACCCTTCTGCCCTTGTGTATATTTTCACAGGCATCATTTATATTGACCATATCCCGTTCGTGAGCTGGTAATCTAATTTGGTAGTAGAGTGCCGTCATGATCTTATGGATACAGTTACTGGGATACCATTCCGCACAATTCAAGCGTGGTTGGGGAGTCAGAGTGGACTAGGCAGTGAGCACTCGTACTATGAGTAGTGTTATTACGAGGCAGTCCAGACTTAAGGTCGTACTGTCGTCTGCGATTGGAATGTGAGGCTGGTGACTTGCTCCCTCTAGGTTACCTTCTTGGGAAGGGCAATGCTGCCTTTTGCCAAGAAAAGATCGGCCATAAAAGCTGAGCCATCGTACTCTTGTTGACGGTTCATGATCGAGAAACGAAAAAGAACATATTGGGTAACTGTATGGCTTTTAACAGCTGCAGGCTGGAATATACTATGGGCCTGTACCGCTGATCTGCAAAATCTATACAACCCGGTCGTAGGGTCCACTCTAGTTGCACGATAATATGATACAGCATTTTTGAAGTTGCCTTTATATATATATATATATATATATATATATATATATATATATGGGTTGTTTGTGAGCGCTGTTTGGAGCTACGATGAGCTTCAGACGAGGTGGGCATAATACGTTTCTAGAATTGCTATCTTTCATATTTCTGATTTAAAACTTGCATGTAATACGCGCCCTCCACATTTTCGTTCCCGGCGTAGCTTCAGCTGGAAGCGTTCAGGCTGTTTCTGGAGCGTCTCCACTTACTGGATACTCCACATGAACACAATTACCGTTTACTTCTTGTCGGTGGATGCAGGGATGCGCGGGATTTGCTTTTGGTTGATCGTCTGAAAGAGTTGGCTCGATCGTTGGATCTCATCGAGTGTGTACAATTTCATGTGAACGTGCCCTATGAGACACTACAGAGTTATTTTCAAAAGTGTATGATCAATTTGCACACAATGGTGGATGAACACTTTGGAATAGGTACGTTTATGGTTGGTGCTAATTTTTCGTTACTTGTTGTGGGACGTGCGATTTCTAAATTTTTAGACCGCGAATTCTTCATATCAAGAGCTCTTGACATCACGAAAAGTTCTTATGGTAATTCTGGCTATCCTAAGATGTCCCGATAGTGATCTTACGAGCACTCACTTTTGTAATTTCGGTTTCCAGATGAATGCTCATAATTTGTCACGAAACCCAGAGCATTGCATACCATCACAGGACAGTGGTTGTTAATATTGAAGCACTCGAAAATACCTGTCGGTTTATTTCAAGAATTTTATCAAGAAACCTCATAAAGATATAACGGGACGTCTTGACGTCGGAAAGATGGCGAACCCTTCTTGTGAGATCTCCAACGGTCCTTTTGTTATTTCGTATGCATCCATTAAGGCCATTGACTATAGCCTAAGTACCACTCACTTGTCTTCATGTGATCGTTCATGACTGCTAAAGATCGGTGCCAGCTCGAAGACCACCTGAATATGACCTCCAGCAGCCACGCCATTGTGAGTGAAGATGTGACGGAAATGCGTCCCCATCAGACGAATTCTGCAGCGAAAAAGCCTGAATAATGAAACGTTTGTCAAAGTGCATTAACACTTACTGTTTGAATAACAGAGGAAAAAACGATCCAACGTCAACTGCTCTGTGTTTATCCGATCTCTTTGTCAGTGGACAGATGGCTGCTGTTAATTGCTTTTACACCAATTACAAAGTACAGGTAAGGACGCCAAATTTCATAACGAGGAAGCCTCATTATATCGTAAAGGCAATTGGTATCCATATTTTTTGGCCCAAGCCATTTAATGAGAAATGGGCGAGATGGCTTAGTGGTTAGAGTGCCCATATGCTGATCGAAAGTTTGTGGTTCGAACTCGGCCTCTACATCTTGACTTCTCCTAGCCAGGCCTAGCGGACGGCCTAGTCGCTATTATTTGAAGTACTTTAGGTGGCCTAACACTCTCGGGTACAAGTATTTTTGAAGTAAAAAATTTGTGATCAGATTCCTTTATCCACAGCTAGGGTTCAATGGGCTCATCAGCTCCTTTTAATCATCGCGGAGCTTATAGACCCTTTAGCTATGATTGTGCACGACAACTTGGTGCGCACACATGACTGTTCAGTCCCATCTGATATCGCATGCATATCTTATCCCGGCATTACGGCAACAGGATACGGTGAAGTTCAAACAGCAATTGCGTCAGCATCCTAAGCACTACGCCAGGAGGGCATTGATCAGTTTGTTTACCAGTCTTTGGGATGTCCTCGATTGTCGAGTGGGATGTAAGCAACCTACTGCGATGGAGAAAAAGGGGCGAAATCTTTCTCGCCATTGCAAAGAGACTGACAGTTATACTGAATTTCCGTCGTCCGGTGCACATAGCTTTTCTTGGCTTGATTAGATTGGATAACTAGCTGCAAGCTGGCTCTCAAACAAGTCGCAGAGTGTTTTGAGCATTCTTCATCCTAAGTTTATTGCTCCTGTTTAATTGTGTGAAGTAGAGGTATCATACGTTTCTTTCAGTGAAACCGTTGGTCCAACTAACTTTTTATCTCATCCTACGCTGCCGCTACTACGCTACGTGCTTGATTCTTACTAACTAGGGAAGTCTTAAAGCTTCTCTAATTCCACAATACAGTCGTGCGATAATTTTACTGTATTGCCTTCCATGACTCAAGTTAATGAGGATGTACGCAAAACGAATTCCCAAGCATTACCTCTTGGGGCTAGTAATAAAATGACAATATTAGCGATGACAGGAAGTCTGTACGTTTTACACAGGGACACCGCTGTCGTAAGAGGAACCTACGGGTATCCGTGAGGAATAGTGCTGCCAGGTCCCGATGGAGTTCACTCTTTAGAGGTATCACTGTATATGAAGTATTATCAGGAGTGTGAGCGGTCCAAGGATAGGCAAACATTTACAGGATGAACTTTTCGGACAAGTCATCCATTGGCCACCATTTAGTAACAAGTTGCGTACGCTATCTCGACAGATGGACTCACATGGGCCTGGTGATTCAAAAACCAGAACACTGGTCTATGAAGCTGTGCGATTGTGTGCGAAGCAGAAGAGATACACTGAAAGGTGGGAACCATGAACCACTGGTAATAGCATGTCTGTGTGTGCATTGAATGGCCTACAAACAAGTGACAAGTTACCGACGATAAAGAGTTCCGTCGTCTTGCAGCGGATATGATTGTGCATCTAACTACTTTAGCAACAGTACACAACTTTTCTCCGAAGAGCCCCACTTTGTTGTAGCCTGGACATCACGGCCTTGTTATCTTTACTAGAATCTAGACTGGATGGCTTGGAAAACCACTCCGATTTCAACATAAGAACCTTAGATTCGATCTTACAACCTAGGAGATCCTCACCGGATATTATCAGTTCTTTGCAGTTGCTAATTAGAGTACATATTGCATGAACTCTGTGGTGGTCTCCGAAAATTTCATCGCTTGCGTTATTTTTGTCACTTGACTGTTTCAGGTGTGGTTGAGGGTATGGCAACCGGGTTGATCACGGTAGCGCATAATTCCGGTGGTCCCTTGACGGATATAATTGGACCTGCCATGAATGCATTGCCTTCCGGCGAAGATTCCGGACACACCAGTACAGGTGTGGGGTTTCTTGCAGCAACAACAGAGGAGTACGCCGACTGTTTCGAGTATATTTTGACACGTATGACGCCTGATCAACTTGAAGCCGTACGAGGAGCGGCTTTGTCAAGATCTCGTGCACTTTTTTCCGATGAATGCTTTTCCCGTGGATGGCTGAACAACATTAAGCTTATCAATGTTTGATTTTAGTGGACTGTGATACTTCTATGATCCCCTACTGTTATTTCACCTTGTATAATTCGGTTTCCGAAACGACACCTTTGTTCTTTTGTTATCGATACTTGGCATTTGAGATTGCCAATGGATGCCCATTTAAATAGTGATTGCCGAACAATTTTTATTTCGATAATCTGACGATGCTGAGGACCTTTTAGTATCCCCTTGATCGTTTACTTGCATCTTTCAGGACTGGCAACGGTAAGAAAGCTTTGGGAAATAACTGCAACTCGCACAAACAGTTAAGTTATCCGTTCACCGGTGGATATGCTGTGTGTCACCAGAACTGTATTTTTGGAGCGAATTATAGGTTCCACATACTTCATTTGAGTGCTTTGGAACCTGTTGATGGTCAATCATAAAGATGGTAAGATGGCTCAATGGTTAGGGAGCGAATTTACTGACCGGAACGTCTGTTGTTCGAACCTGCCCTCTGCCTCTCGACTTCTCCTGTTTAGGCTTAGGCAACCTGACAGTATCCCAACCCTCGTGCTTCCTTCGGGTGGCGTGGTAACTAGGCACTGAAAGGGTGTTACAGCTGGACGGCGATTTTCAATAATAGAGCAGAAGTCCCATCATTTTCTACTGCAAGTAGCACAGGTTGGACTGTGAGCAACTAGCTTGTTGCGCCGAATTACATAGTAACCTATGTCGTTTTCAATACTGCACTGTTAATTAATAGGAAAATTAGTTTCCAATTTGATATTAGTAATAAGTAGTAAGTCTGGCGACATGCTTCACCTCACTGCCGACCCCATAAAGTATGGGTCCGAAGAGCCATGTAAACTTAGATTTTGATTCTGACGCTTCTACACTCGCTTGGTAGATTCTAATCAACATACATTACCTTGTTTTATCGAACTTCTCTGGATACTATCGCACATTTACCCAATGAAGCTGGTTCCCAATAGCCACTGCTTCACACGTACCGCCCAAGACAGATCCATTGCTGCAACCCAGACACCGTACTGGTTGCGCCAGAAGACTGGTGAAACATTCTCAACTTGATGAGCGCCAATAATCTTACGTTGAACGGCCAACAGGGGAGATGTCGAAGTTGAGACTTCTGAAGATAAGCACAGAATGCCCGGAACCTACTGAGATAATGAAACTCCACCAAAATCTCAATAGGGGAGCCGGCAAGCATCTAGGCCAGCCAATCATTCAATTCAACAAAAGCCGATGAGGGTTCATGCTCGCCACAGAAGCCCGACCGACTATGATAAGTGTTCTAGCATTTTACAGCAACACGGTAAATGTCAATTGGTGTTCACCAAACGCTGATCAAACGGGCTGGATCAGTGTCAACAAGTGCCTTTTAAGTAGAGCGGGGCCGTTGTAACTTGCACTCGCTTCGTGCAATAAAGCTATAATGTTACTCGTCAGCGATTCTTTTTTCTGGCACCAAAGCACTGGAGCGGGAACAGTAGTTAGATATGACACTTTTTGTCTGAAGCTATTTGAGCACCTGGGTTTTCAGGACCTTGCGTTTGCCTCGTAATCTCATCGGTCACGAAAGTAAATAGCAATGAAGAGAGCGGGCAATCCTGGTGTATACCACTTTGTGTACGATGATATTGCTATATCTTGGCACAAGAAACAAGGGT